ACACCTAAGAAAGGAAATTGGCGAACAGGGACAGAGAGTTGTCACCCTATAACAGGAAGTGTCTGAACAAGGACAGAGCGTTGTCACCCTATAACAGGAAGTGTCTGAACAAGGACAGAGCGTTGTAACCCTATAACAGGAAGTGTCTGAACAGGGACAGAGCAATGTCACCCTATAACAGGAAGTGTCTGAACAAGGACAGAGCGTTGTCACCCTATAACAGGAAGTGTCTGAACAAGGACAGAGCGTTGTAACCCTATAACAGGAAGTGTCTGAACAGGGACAGAGCAATGTCACCCTATAACAGGAAGTGTCTGAACAAGGACAGAGCGTTGTCACCCTATAACAGGAAGTGCCTGAACAAGGCTCTTCCTGGCAGGATCACCGGGGATTCTTATTATATTGTCAGGGTTTCCAGGGGCAGCCAATCACAGAGCCGAGTGTTAGGATCACGGCGGTGGGCGGGGCCGGGGGGAGGGGTCAGTAGGTGGACGCGGGTGATAAATTCTGGGTTCTCTCCTCAGGACACGCTGGAGAAATGCGCCACCTGCCAGACTCTGATCGTGCAGCACATAGTGCGAGCCATGGGGGACAGCTACCACCCGGAGTGCTTCCGCTGCGTGGTGTGTCACCGGACCATCGCCGACGAGAGCTTCGCCGTGGACGAGTACAACCACGTTCACTGCGCGGAGGACTACTACAGGTGCGTAGAGCCGGGGCAGATCTGTGACAGACGGGAAAGCAGAAGTGTTCATAAATAACAATACCAATGTGACTTCTCATCACATCCTCTCCATGAGCTGGAGCTCAAACTACACACGCAGCTGAATGACTCAGAGGAGGGATGCAACTCCCCCTCCCTCTCCACTAGGAAGTAAACAGTCACGGCTCTATTTTTCCCCTTCCATAGATAAAGCTCTAGACTTGAGGCTGCTCTGAGCTGCACTGTGCTGGCCACAGAGTGGGCGGGTCGTGGTGACCCGAGGCCCCTCCCCCCCCCCAAAAAAATAGAGACAGAACCTGGGGTGACCGTGACCTTTTATGTGATGTCTTGCAGGAAGTACGCGCCCATCTGCAGCGTGTGTGACCAGCCCATCATCCCCAAGGACGAACATGACTCCTATAAGATTGAATGCATCGGGCGCAGCTTCCACGAGGATTGTTACCGCTGTGAGGTAAGTGTGACTCCGCCTTGTGCGAAGTTCAGCACGGAGCCAGAGTTGTCACCGACGGAAACAAAACATTCCTATTTTTATTTCCGGTTCGAATGTATTGCGATGTAATACTGCCCCATGGCCACCAGGTGGAGCCGAGGAGATAAATACTTCTTGTGGCCACCAGGTGGAGCCGAGGAAATAAATACTTCTTGTGGCCACCAGGTGGAGCCGAGGGAATAAATACTTCTTGTGGCCACCAGGTGGAGCCGAGGAGATAAATACTTCTTATGGACCCGAGGGGCATCTTTGCTGGTTGAATGCAATATAATGTAATACTGTATTGTGGCCACCAGGTGGAGCTGACGAGCGGAAAGATACGTCCTGGGCTCCTCCGCTCCATCTAGTGGCCACAATGTATGATTACATTACAATACTTCTTGTGGCCACCAGGTGGAGCCGAGCGGCGTCTTTGCTGGTTGAATGCAATATAATGTAATACTGTATTGTGGCCACCAGGTGGAGCCGAGGAAATGAATACTTCTTGTGGCCACCAGGTGGAGCCGAGGAAATAAATACTTGTAGACCCGAGGGGCATCTTTGCTGGTTCAATGTGTTATAATGTAATACTCTATTGTGGCCACTAGATGGAGGGGAGGAGTAGATACATAGATATTTCCTGTGCTCCTCGGCTCCATCTGGTGGCCACAATGTATTATTACACCGGAACACATTTAAACATACAATTTTGTTTATAAATAGACCCCTTAGAGATAAAACTTTACTCATCTGCGTGCAATCACAATGCGTTTCTTTCTCGATCCCTCGATCCGACAGAAAGCGGCTGCTACCCGCTGAACGGCCATATACTCTGCAAGTCGTGTCACCTGTCGTGGAATGATGAGCTGTCCTAAGCGTGGGACCCGTCCCTGACCTTCCTCCCCCGATACACCGACCTGGTCGCGGCGCAAGAAGACCCAAGCTTTGGGATCCTCCCAATGAACTTCCTCTGACGAGGAGGGCCAATCACGAGACAGCGGCCCGGAGGTGGACACCAAATCAGCGCCCCCCGAGCGGTACAGAGAGGGACCAGGACAGACAAGGACATGAAATCAGAGAGATGTCCCCTTCAAGGAGCCCCCCCCCCCCACCCCACCAGCACCTTACATGCAGCATGTGCCAGAAAGGAAACTCTGAATGTACTCCTAGATTCTGATCATTTATATACAGGAAGTGAACGTTTATGGGACAAATGATGGAAAATTGGGAAAATTCTGCACTCCGCGTTATCTCCTGCAATGCCTGTGATTGTTTTCTTCTAAAATGCTTCAATTTTATACAAGTTTTGGCCTCGTTTATCTTAAAAGCCAAATCCACCCGAAATATTGTTCAGATGATGGAATCGGCCTGTCAGAGACAATGCTGAGATTTCCCTGCAGTAGTTTGTGTCTCTGCCCCTCCCACAATGGGGAGATTTCCTCCAGTAGTTGGTGTCTCTGCCCCTCCCACAATGGGGAGATTTCCTCCAGTAGTTGGTGTCTCTGCCCCTCCCACAATGGGGAGATTTCCTCCAGTAGTTGGTGTCTCTGCCCCTCCCACAATGGGGAGATTTCCTCCAGTAGTTGGTGTCTCTGCCCCTCCCACAATGGGGAGATTTCCTCCAGTAGTTGGTGTCTCTGCCCCTCCCACAATGGGGAGATTTCCTCCAGTAGTTGGTGTCTCTGCCCCTCCCACAATGGGGAGATTTCCTCCAGTAGTTGGTGTCTCTGCCCCTCCCACAATGGGGAGATTTCCTCCAGTAGTTGGTGTCTCTGCCCCTCCCACAATGGGGAGATTTCCTCCAGTAGTTGGTGTCTCTGCCCCTCCCACAATGGGGAGATTTCCTCCAGTAGTTGGTGTCTCTGCCCCTCCCACAATGGGGAGATTTCCTCCAGTAGTTGGTGTCTCTGCCCCTCCCACAATGGGGAGATTTCCTCCAGTAGTTGGTGTCTCTGCCCCTCCCACAATGGGGAGATTTCCTCCAGTAGTTGGTGTCTCTGCCCCTCCCACAATGGGGAGATTTCCTCCAGTAGTTGGTGTCTCTGCCCCTCCCACAATGGGGAGATTTCCTCCAGTAGTTGGTGTCTCTGCCCCTCCCACAATGGGGAGATTTCCTCCAGTAGTTGGTGTCTCTGCCCCTCCCACAATGGGGAGATTTCCTCCAGTAGTTGGTGTCTCTGCCCCTCCCACAATGGGGAGATTTCCTCCAGTAGTTGGTGTCTCTGCCCCTCCCACAATGGGGAGATTTCCTCCAGTAGTTGGTGTCTCTGCCCCTCCCACAATGGGGAGATTTCCTCCAGTAGTTGGTGTCTCTGCCCCTCCCACAATGGGGAGATTTCCTCCAGTAGTTGGTGTCTCTGCCCCTCCCACAATGGGGAGATTTCCTCCAGTAGTTGGTGTCTCTGCCCCTCCCACAATGGGGAGATTTCCTCCAGTAGTTGGTGTCTCTGCCCCTCCCACAATGGGGAGATTTCCTCCAGTAGTTGGTGTCTCTGCCCCTCCCACAATGGGGAGATTTCCTCCAGTAGTTGGTGTCTCTGCCCCTCCCACAATGGGGAGATTTCCTCCAGTAGTTGGTGTCTCTGCCCCTCCCACAATGGGGAGATTTCCTCCAGTAGTTGGTGTCTCTGCCCCTCCCACAATGGGGAGATTTCCTCCAGTAGTTGGTGTCTCTGCCCCTCCCACAATGGGGAGATTTCCTCCAGTAGTTGGTGTCTCTGCCCCTCCCACAATGGGGAGATTTCCTCCAGTAGTTGGTGTCTCTGCCCCTCCCACAATGGGGAGATTTCCTCCAGTAGTTGGTGTCTCTGCCCCTCCCACAATGGGGAGATTTCCTCCAGTAGTTGGTGTCTCTGCCCCTCCCACAATGGGGAGATTTCCTCCAGTAGTTGGTGTCTCTGCCCCTCCCACAATGGGGAGATTTCCTCCAGTAGTTGGTGTCTCTGCCCCTCCCACAATGGGGAGATTTCCTCCAGTAGTTGGTGTCTCTGCCCCTCCCACAATGGGGAGATTTCCTCCAGTAGTTGGTGTCTCTGCCCCTCCCACAATGGGGAGATTTCCTCCAGTAGTTGGTGTCTCTGCCCCTCCCACAATGGGGAGATTTCCTCCAGTAGTTGGTGTCTCTGCCCCTCCCACAATGGGGAGATTTCCTCCAGTAGTTGGTGTCTCTGCCCCTCCCACAATGGGGAGATTTCCTCCAGTAGTTGGTGTCTCTGCCCCTCCCACAATGGGGAGATTTCCTCCAGTAGTTGGTGTCTCTGCCCCTCCCACAATGGGGAGATTTCCTCCAGTAGTTGGTGTCTCTGCCCCTCCCACAATGGGGAGATTTCCTCCAGTAGTTGGTGTCTCTGCCCCTCCCACAATGGGGAGATTTCCTCCAGTAGTTGGTGTCTCTGCCCCTCCCACAATGGGGAGATTTCCTCCAGTAGTTGGTGTCTCTGCCCCTCCCACAATGGGGAGATTTCCTCCAGTAGTTGGTGTCTCTGCCCCTCCCACAATGGGGAGATTTCCTCCAGTAGTTGGTGTCTCTGCCCCTCCCACAATGGGGAGATTTCCTCCAGTAGTTGGTGTCTCTGCCCCTCCCACAATGGGGAGATTTCCTCCAGTAGTTGGTGTCTCTGCCCCTCCCACAATGGGGAGATTTCCTCCAGTAGTTGGTGTCTCTGCCCCTCCCACAATGGGGAGATTTCCTCCAGTAGTTGGTGTCTCTGCCCCTCCCACAATGGGGAGATTTCCTCCAGTAGTTGGTGTCTCTGCCCCTCCCACAATGGGGAGATTTCCTCCAGTAGTTGGTGTCTCTGCCCCTCCCACAATGGGGAGATTTCCTCCAGTAGTTGGTGTCTCTGCCCCTCCCACAATGGGGAGATTTCCTCCAGTAGTTGGTGTCTCTGCCCCTCCCACAATGGGGAGATTTCCTCCAGTAGTTGGTGTCTCTGCCCCTCCCACAATGGGGAGATTTCCTCCAGTAGTTGGTGTCTCTGCCCCTCCCACAATGGGGAGATTTCCTCCAGTAGTTGGTGTCTCTGCCCCTCCCACAATGGGGAGATTTCCTCCAGTAGTTGGTGTCTCTGCCCCTCCCACAATGGGGAGATTTCCTCCAGTAGTTGGTGTCTCTGCCCCTCCCACAATGGGGAGATTTCCTCCAGTAGTTGGTGTCTCTGCCCCTCCCACAATGGTGAGATTTCCTCCCAGTAGTTTGTGTCTCTGCCACTTATAAGTGTGGCCACAAGGGGGCGATGGAGCGCAGCGCCATCTATAAGGCAGATCACATAAAGTCACATGGTGTAATAATTGTGGCCACAAGGGGGCGATGGAGCGCAGAGCCATCTATAAGGCAGATCACATAAAGTCACATGGTGTAATAATTGTGGCCACAAGGGGGCGATGGAGCGCAGCGCCATCTATAAGGCAGATCACATAAAGTCACATGGTGTTATAATTGTGGCCACAAGGGGGCGATGGAGCGCAGAGCCATCTATAAGGCAGATCACATAAAGTCACATGGTGTAATATGGCCACAAGGGGGCGATGGAGCACGGAGCTCGTGTTTGCATGTCGCCTCTTTTCTAGAATGTTGGTCATGTGACCGGCCTTATATAACGAGCTGTGACCTATATTCATCATTCAGAGCCGCTCAGCGTGTCAGGAAACAGACTGGTTGGGGTGCAGCTTCAGCTTTATTTACAATGAACACACCCATGATATATCTAACTGCACCCCCCCCCCCCCCCCCACCCTTT